CATTTTTATTTTTGATGGGCTTTGGGCCTTCAAGCTCACTTGAGAATAAAGAGGAGGAGCTGCCATGAGCTTTTAAAATTCAAATATTTTATTTGGCTTCTTGAATTTCTCTTATTTCTTCATTTACTCAAGGGCTTTTGTTGAGAGATGGGATTTTGGGATTTATTCTTCATTAACCTGCAATTAAAGATAAAAGCAATTATTAGTGATATATTTATTCATCTAAAATAGATAATGAGGGTATAAAATTGTAATAAAATATGATTATCAAATACCCCTACACCTAAACTTTTGCTAGTCCTCTAGCAAAGAAAAAAAAATCCTAACTCACTTTCGCAGGAATCGCGGTTGTATTTAGCGCATACAACAAGCCTTTAAACCTCTAGATTACCCTAGTGGATGAGTTGTAGTCTCGTGAGGGTTTGCAGAGAATATACCCACAAAATTCAGCCTACTTGCCAAATTTAAAAAAAGTCAGTAAATAACTAAATTCACTTGATAACTTTTAGATAATCTAATTGGAGCCAGTTATCACTCAAGAAAACATTTTTATATATAACTCTAAGGTATATTTTTAAGAAAATCTTCTCATTGTAGCAATACAAAATCAAGCGAGACTTAGAAATTTAATTTAAAAGTTTTGAAAAGAACATGCTAACTCTTTGTTTTAAATAATTTTCAAGTTGCTTGATTTAAAATATTTTCCAAGACCATATATACAACTATAAAACATTTATTAGTTTTTTTTAATTTAAATTTTTTTAAACTCTTTCTTTCTTGGTGATTTTTTCTACTTTAACGGGCTTTCTAAGTGACCTTTTAACGAGTTTTGGGCCAATGGATCCCAACCCAAATGGGCTTAGGTCATTAAGTATGGAAATACTCATTGGGCTTAATTACTCGGTCAGCTTAGGCTTTATAAGATAGAATCACCTTGAATTCAAGAGTTTTTTTTCTTTCTTTTTGGTGCCCATTTTTTGCACTCTTCTTTTGTAATTTTTTTTTGTATATTTTGAAAATATGTAAATCAAGACACTTTGAAAAAAAATTTATTTTTAACTCTAAGTTAAGCATGCAAAAATTTCATTATTTTAAATAAAAATCCAAGTTAAGGCTTAAGTAAAGTATACTACTTTGAAAATTATTTCTTAAGAAATTTATTTAGAGTTATCATAAAAAGTAAACTTAAGTAAATAACCAACTAGGGATTAGAAAATTTCAAATTTATCAAATAAATTAATTATTACATAACTCCATCAATTTGGCAAGTGACGATATTTTTATAATAATTTTTTTAAAAGAAAAAGGGGGGAAAATGTAACTAAAAATGTAAAATAAAGAGAAAAATAACTAATTCCCACCCCCACACCTAAATTTTGCATTGTCCTCAATGCAAATTCTATGATGCATAAAGTAAAGCAGATAAGAAGTGAAGCACTTACATTTGATCGGCTGATAAAAATCTACAATTACCTTTGGTCTGAGGAGGATGAAATCAAAAATTTATTTTTATTTTCTTTTATTTTTTTTTTGAAAACTGAACAAGAAACTCTCACATGAGAGAAGAATAATTTTTTTTATTATTCTGAAATAAACAAAATAAACAATGTAGAATGAAATATTCAACATGAAGAGTTCCTGTTCTACATTGAATCCTACCTTACTGTTGAAAATTCTTCCCCGGATTTTAAACAAATTCAGAGTGATATAATCAATGATGTGAATTTCCAAGCATTTCGGGGTGTTCAGTAATTCTTACAACAAAGTAAGGTAGGTATTATTGGTGTCATGCATTTTGCATTTCTTAATAAACTTAGACTCTTGTACTGTGAAGTTTTATTTTCTAACAACCAATTCTTCTGTGAAGTTCTGAAAATTTGGTTGTTGATTATTCTTCAAGAATCTAAGTTCATCAAGAAAGAGTTCTTCAAAATTTAATTCAAAGCAGCAAATGTTTAACACAGTTTTATTATTCTCAAGGACCTGATCTGCTTCTTCTAAAAACTCTAACTCTTCATCAAAAATTTTCTCAAAACTTAAATCACACTCTTCTTCTTCTTCTTCTTCTTCTGATCTTTCCTGAATGTAGTTTATTTCTAGAGGCTGATTATTTGGTTGGTCCCCTGGATTAAAAATGTTGAGATCAGCAGTCAAATTCCCAAAGGACAGCTTCATTTGACCAGTTCTACAGTTGATGAGAGCATTAGAAGTGGCTAAGAACGGTCGTCCTAAGATGACAGGTGTCTGTCCTTTGGGATTGGAAACAGGCTGTGTTTCCAAGACTACAAAATCTACTGGAAAAATAAAATCTCCAACCTTAATCAGAACATCCTCTAACTCACCCATAGGGACCTTGACAGATCTATCAGCCAACTGTAAGGTGCATTTGGTTGGGTTCAGTACACCTAGACCCAATTGCTGATAGACTGAATATGGAAGCAAATTGACACTGGCCCCTAAGTCTAAAAGCGCCTTATCAATGTGAGTATTACCAATGATACATGAAATGATGGGGGAACCTGGATCTTTACGTTTCAAAGGTATGGGATTTGATAGCATTTCACTGATATTGGCGGCTAAAAAGACTTTCTTTGGAACATTTATTCTCCTCTTCTTAGTGCACAATTCTTTTAAAAATTTAGCATAAGATGGAATTTGTTCAATTACATCTAAGAGAGGAATATTGACCTTAACCTGCTTGAATGTTTCTAGGATCTTCTCCTCCTGAGGAGAGTGTTTCCTAGACCTGAGTCTATCTGGAAAGGGAGCAACCGGTCTAAATCTATCAAAAGCAGGCTCAGGTTCGGGTTCAGGTTCTTGGTCATCTGAGGGGAGTGATTGTTGAATAGATTCATCAGAAGGAGAAGGAGAAGGAATTTGTACAGGATCAAGAGTTTGACTTGGAGGAGTTCTCACTTGATTATCGACCTGTCTACCTGACCGAAGTGAATGGATTGCATTCACTTGAGCTTCATAGGATGAACTGCATCCTGTGTTATTAGGGTTGACCACGGGTTGACTTGGAAATTTTCCTTTCTCTCTTTCACTCACGGCACTAGCTAGTTGACTAAGTTGAGATTCTAATCTAGCTATAGCTTGAGTGTTGGAGTTGAGCATTTGTCCAGTTGATTACATGAAGGAATTCAGCGTGCTAAACGTTTGAGTCAACATATTCGTGGTTTGAGTAGAGGCCTTAATTATGGCTTCTAAACCCCTTTCCAAGAGTTTGAGTCAACATATTCGTGGTTTGAGTAGAGGCCTTAATTATGGCTTCTAAACCCCTTTCCAAGACATTGATATGTTTATCCTGATCTGGATTGTGAGGAGTCTGAATTACAGCTTGATGAAGAGGAGACTGATTTTGATACGGCAGATTGGGTTGTTGAAATTGTGAATGAGAATTGAATGGAACTGTGTTTCCCCTAGGAAAATGTTGGGTCGAAGCGGGAGTGAAGTTTTGAGTTCCGGGAGAATTTCCTTGATTCCATGCAAAGTTGGGATGATTTCTCCAACCTGGATTGTAGGTTGGAGAAAATGGATCATTTCTAGGGTGCTGGAATGCAGCGTTCATCTGTTCTATTGCGTTGTTATTTCCTAGGAGAGGGCATTCCTCTGAAACGTGGGTAGGAGACTGATAATTATGACATCTTGAGGCATAAACATGATTGATTTGAGCTGGAGCTCGTTCCTTAATTTCTAAAGCTTCTAACCTTCGCAGAATCGTCGCCATTTTTGCTTCAGAAGCAATGTTTGACTCCAAGGAAAAACCAGTAGACTTAGATTGGGGAACTGATGAAACCCTATCATCACAGTGTTCCCATTGTATTGTTTTTTCAGAAAGACTCTCTAAAAACTCCCAAGCTTCATCAGCGTTTTTCCTCATAAAATCCCCGTGGCACATTGATTCTAAGGAAGTTTTTGCAGAATAATCTAATCCCTCATAAATTATTTGGCACAATCGCCATTTTTCTAAACCGTGATGAGGACATTGGATGAGAAGATCTTTAAATCGGTCAAAATACTTCCAAAAATGTTCTCCTGGGATAATTTTAAAGTTTTGAATGCTGTTCCTAAGCTTTACCGTTTTATGAATAGGGAAAAATTTCTTAAGAAAAACGGTGATAAATTCATCCCAAGTTGAGATGGAATTTGTTGGTAAGCTGTACAGCCATTTTTTAGCTTTATCCTTAAGAGCAAATGTAATAAATCTAAGCTTAACCGCATCTTCATTTAATTCTCTCATTTTAATCATAATACACACTTCCTCAAATTCCAAAATAAAAATATATGCGTCTTCATTATCAAGGAATTTGGGAAGCATGTTTATGTATTGCGGTCTAAGCTCAAAATTTATTGCGGTCTAAGCATATTATTTTTGAAAATTTGCCAAATATGGATACTGTTGATGGAATTTCAAGAATATGTCAAATTGGTTGGCTACGTCACCTCGAAATAGGCAATTTACATATATAATATGTCACAATCTGCCTTTCGTACGGGGACATATGACCGACTCTTTGCGAGCTAGTCAATAATGCATTTGTATCCGCATTTAGCTCTTGATAGTCCCGCTCCTCCATGAATTTGTCCGTTATTTATCCTACATCATCATCTGACAATTGTGAACTCATTGTTCATGGAGTTGAAATTACTCATTAATCACATATAAATGATAATCATTTTTAGGGTTTTTTTCGTTTTTAGTTCCTCCAACTTTTCACATTTTGCCATTAGTCCCTCCGACCATTGAATTTCTGTTAGTTCCCAAATCATGTAAGCTGTTTGAAATAAGCAAAAGCAATGAGAAATGTTCCAAATAAAATAGAAAAGAGTACATACAAAATAAGGAACCTAGCTCTTTACCCACAATAGAAGGTGACCGCCATATTCAAACCCAAACCAAGGGGTCAGCCCATTCTTAAATCTCAAGGCAACTAGTTATAAGCTTTTATATAAATCCCAAGCTTCGTTTTCAACTTCGCTCATCAAATTCTCTACAGTCCTTCAAAACTTCACAATATTCCTGTGATGGATTCAATGGCTAGAGCAACACCGCGTTCTTATGAGGATTTTATTCCCTCCTCGCATTGGATTAGAGAAGAAGGATCCGATACGCTCGTAATTGAGCTCCCGGGTGAGTGATTTCTCTATGGCTCATGTGTATTATTTTGGTTAATTGCGTATGGACCCATGTAGGATCGTTATTTTGAAGTTACTACCCCTTTAGAAGTTTCATTTTCGACAGATAGACCCCTCGAGTTAAATTTTATTTCTTTTTATACCCCAGGTGAATTTGTGACAGCTGTTTCCTCTCTGGGGGAAATTAGCGAGAGTCTATCTGAGGCAAAGAGTCTAAAAGATTAATTCAAAAGATTTCATCCAAGGTTTATTTGTCAAAATGAAACTAGAAAGCAGCAGTTCAGAAACATATATACACGAAGTCTTAAAACTCTGTTAGTTATTCAACTTGCATAAAAATAGTCATAAGATTTCTAATTTTTAAGTAGTACTGTTTTTATACGTAAGAAACTTATTGGAAAATTACTTGCAATAATTTGATTAGTGGAAATCTTAAACTATGTTGAATAATTTTTTAATCTTATTTCGGTTACATTACTACAATTTCTCTTAATGCATCCAACCTATCTCTTCTATTGTACATACATGCAGATGCAAATATTAAAATACATGCATGCATGTGTTGATCAGCCTGTTAAAACTATTTTGCACCCCTGACGCTGACTCAACAGGATTCAAGAAGGAGCACCTAAAAGTCCAGCTCGACAACCACACCAATCTCCGCACCAGCGGCCAGCGCCCTCTCACCGGAAACCAATGGCTACGCTTCCGAGGGGAATTCCAAATACCCGACAAGTACAACACGGGCAAAGCCCGTGCCAAGTTCGAGAACGGACTCCTTACCGTTAACCTCCCAAAACTCATCACTGAACCTGAAACAATAACACAAGCTCCTGCGGGATCTCATGAGCGCGATTCTGCAGAAGGAGAAAATGGGCAGGGTGTAAGCGGAAAAGGTGAGGTCGGGATTAAGGTGAAGAGGAGGTGGTTGTTTGTAAATTGTGCAGTGGCTGCTTTGGTTATTGTTGGGGTGGGGAGTTTCGTGGTTTATAATTTCAGGAAGAGGGGTTGGGAGCTGATAGAGTACTTCGATCAGTATTAGGTTGTGATTGGGATTTGGGAGGGAGAGTGTGTAATTTGAAGATTGTTGTGGTCGTGTGTGCATTTGTAAATTATGAGAATATTGCATGAGTAAAAATGGAAAGAAATAACTGTGCTTACGTTTTGTTCAAATTCACTTCATCATGGATTGCTTGAAAATATATAACATTTTATTTCCGAGACCTTAATTTATGGCTGTTAGAAGGAAGAGAGGATGAACGAGAATATAAATAAATATAATAAAAGCAGCCTTTTCTCACATAATCTGTTCTCATCAACGAGATAACAACAAAAGGGCCAACTAAGAGGAACTACAAATAAAATTAAAAATTAAAAATAAGAATAAAAGAAAAGAAAATAATGAACAACAGTAAAAAGCGATATTATTTTATTAAGAAGAAACTACTCAAAATTTATGCAAGAAAACACAATATACTGAAAATAATCACCTAATAGTGGATAGAGTTCCTCTCCTATAGTCTTTCTTCTAACTGTAGTCCTATCTTGTTCTTCATTGATGCTACTTAAATCTCAGAAAGGGTTATGCTTTAGGGCCTGTCCAAAATAACCGCCGGCCTGGCCGGCCCGGCCCGGAAATCCGGGCCAGGCTGGTGTCCGGTCCGGGTTGCCTCAGCCGACGCTCGGCCGCGCAGCCCGGGCCCGGAGCTCGGCCCGGCCATAATGGTCACAGTGATGACCGTGTGTGTCAAAACCGCCGGGCCGGGCCGGGTGACACGGCCGGGCCGGCCCGGCCCGGTCCGACCACAAGCGGTCACCAGTGGTGACCGTTGTGACAAAATGGCCGGGCCGGGCCAACCAGGCGGGCGGAGCCGGGTCCACATTCCGGGCCGGGCAGCTCGCACGCGAGCCCGGCTCGGCCATAACCGTCACACGTGGTGACCGTTGTGTCAAAACGGCCGGGCCGGGCCGGGGCGCCGGCCCGGCCACAACGGCCAAAAACGCCGCCGTTTGACAGCCGTTTTTCCCCCAAAAACAGTCAAAAAACGGCGATATTTTGTGAGTTAAAAATTTGTCAAATTGGCCTACGGGGCTGGCTTCTATCATAATAGAGGGGCGGTTTTCTCATTTGTTTTCTCACACCAAAAAATCATCTCTTTCTCTTATACTCTTATACTCTCTTTATACTCTTATACTACTCATATTCATATACTGGTTCTAATCCTTTCATCAAATGCGCTTCGCCGATCTGCATTATGCAAAGAGCCAAACCTATCTCCCGATCCTGAAATGAGTACCTCCCTACTATTAAGTCCTCCTACTGGCGTCATCCTAACCGAAGTTTTAATCCCGAATCCGGGGCGACGCAATCTGCACACAAGAGGCCCTAAAAAAGCGCAAGATTCCGCGATGGTGGAATTTTACCGGAGAGACGAGCACAAGGATCGAACACGGTTAGGATCCTCATCGCAGAGGCTAAGTGCTGCATTGTCGGCGCAAATTTTTAGCTTATCATAGAGCGCCACCAACCACCTCAAACGTCATTTAGAATAACACAACCAAAGGCCAGACTCTAAGTGATATCCGACAATCTAATGATTTCTCAATCCTCCTCTTCTGGCTAGTCTCGGTAGTTGGAACTATGACGGCTGGCTAGAGCCAGAAATGCGTAATCAGGTATTATTCATTCTTAAAAACCTTCCTTAAATTATAGAAGAGATAATCTGAAAGATATGTTTAGGAATCGGTTTTTATCCGCATTTAAAATTTTCTCGTCAAACTCGTGTAAACGTGCATATTTAAAATATTATCTATCATGCGAACAAGAAAAAATAATTTCTTATTTTTAAAATTTAAACTGCTAAATTGTCTTAACTTCTGAATATTTTTGGACATCTAGAGCACACAACTAGGATATTGATGATCACTAACACATTTGGATTGATGAAATGACGGTAAATTTTAAAAGAGTATGTTTCTTTTATTACAAATAGAACAGTCAATACTGGTGCTAATGCTTCGCAAATTTAATAATTGAAAGAACTTTTTTAGAATTTGAATTTTTATTTTATTTTTTTTACTATCTAATATGAATTTGCTTTATATAACAAGTGTAGCTGATATTTATCAGATCATCTTTATCATTGCCATGTCATGGTGAATCTTTTTCATATTGGTGCATCTGCTCATATGTTTAAATTTAATATTGTTCAAGTGCATTACTGAAATTAACCCATGATAGAAAAGGTTAGAACAGTTACGTTACATGGCATAGTGGCTTCTGACAAAGACTTAAAAGAGTCGCGAAATGTTTGTAAACAGAAAAATGTATAAGCCCTAGACTAATTCCAAAAGAGTTGACCACTAGCCGTGGAATTCCACATACTGGCAATGTTAAGCTGTACAATAGAATATAAAGACATTATAACTGATTTATAAAACTATTATGCTTAGTTCTAGTTCTGGTAGGCGGACTTATGGAATACACTGAAGATGAATGGCAAATTACTAGTGTAATTTAAATAAAATGTTTATAAGTTCTTTATGATGCTACAATGTTATTATCTGCTGCTGTTATTGATCCAACGCATTACTTTAGCTGCTGTTACAAATTTAAATATTCAAATTTTTTTCGGAATTATCGTATGACGCTACTCTTGGACCTGATGATTTTTGAAATGAGAGCAAATTTAATGAAGTACTTTAGGCGCTATTCATCATATTTTTTGGTTTTGGGGTTCTTATTGATCCATCTTGAAAGCATATTGGCCTTCGAAAGTGATTTGTTACAATCCTTGTATGGTAACTCAGCGTTAAGACTTAGATGATGAACCACCCTTACTGCCTACTACTCATCATTTAGTTATTAGAAATTTTTCAAACTCTTATAATGAGAGTATGCCAGCTAGACATAGGTAACTACACAACGAGTCCTAAACAGCTTCGCGTTTCTTCGAGCTCATCCCGAGTAAAGTGTAATTTGATAGGTTGCATGGTAGCCTGAGCTGACTGCTTGGATCTGGACTTGATCGTCATCATCGCGAGGTTCTGAAATAGATGAATATTTTTTTGCTTCTTTAGATTAGATGTCAACGCAAATGCTTTAAGATATTTTTGCAATGTGTGAAAGTATAGGATCAGTTTCATATCCTTATACTTTACCACCATGGTTCGTGACTTATAACAGAGCTGCGTTTCGACCGGTAGCTCGGAATCCGCCTTCAGCACAGCAGTCGGTTTGATCGCGATCACCAGGACATGCTTGGATCCGCGTATATCTGTACAATAGCGGTGATGTGGCTTATAAGATTGGTGGAGCGTACGAGAAGCGAACGCCAAGATCATCGATGGTAATCGTTGGAATAAAGATAAATTTGAAGATTGGGACTAGCAGATAGATATAAATTGAATAGATTGTAGTTTTTATACCTTAGGCTTAAAATTTGTAAAGAATTATTTTGGAATAATACAAACATCGATAGCTGATCATAGGTTGAGTACGGTGCCCAACCTGAGTGCCGATTTACTTACTCTATGTGATGCTGCATCTAATTC